TCCCTCAATGATTTGAATATGCCATTCCAGTCTCTCCTAGCCTGTAAAGTTTCTACAGAGAAATTTGCTGAAAGCCTGATGGGGGTTCCTTTGTAGGTTATTTTCTTCTGCCTTGCTGCCCTTAGTATTCTTTCTTTGTCATTCAGTTTTGCCAGTTTTACTACTATACGCCTTGCAGTAGGTCTTTTTACATTGACATATTTAGGAGATCTGGCAGCCTCTTCCACATGGATTTCCTTCCTTAGGTTTGGGAAACTCTCCACTATTATTTCTTTGAACACATTTTCTGCTCCATTCTTCTTCTCTTCTCCTTCTTGAATACCTATAATTCTTATGTTGCATTTCTTAATTGAGTTGGATATTTCTCAGAGACTTTCTTCATTTATTTTTAGTCTTAGTCCTCCCTCCTTCTCTATCTGGAGCATTTCAACATGTCTGTCTTCAATTATGCTGATTTGCACCTCTAGGATGTCCACTTGAGTGTTCAGGGAATCCATATTTTGTTTTATTTCTTCCATTGTGTCTTTCATCTCTAATATTTCTGATTGGTTCTTCTTTATAGTTTCAATCTCTTTTGTGAAGTAGCTCCTGAACTCACTGAATTGTTTCTCTACATTCTCTTTTACCTTGTTGAATTTTTTTTGATGATAGCTATTTTGAATTCTTTGTCATTTAGAGTACATATTTCTGTGTCCTCAGGACTGATTTCTGGGTATTTGTTATTTTCTCTCTGGTCTGGAGATCTAATATAATGTTTGATATTGCTAGAGGGAGTGGGTCTGTTCTTTCACATCCTGGTGTTATTTGGTCACAGTTACTGCCTATCACCACTGGGTGGAGGTCAAGAACCACATATTCTGAGCCCTCTGCTTTCAGCTAAAATCCCAGGGGCTGGAGCCGTGCTGAGTGGGTGGGGGGAGGGGTGCTTTCTCCTGTGTGCACTTGGGCTTTCTCGCTCTGCTCTTGCTATCTGCTCTCCTGGGGTGTTGGCTTGATATGGTCACCTCTACAAAAGCTTTCACCCTAGTAGAGGGCTTCCCTATAGGCTGCAAGGGCCCTTGGGAGTCCTTAATGTTAGCATGAACAACCATCCTTTCACCTCTTCCTTCCCTCTTGGATCCTCCTGCGGTCCCGAGCACAGTCTTTAGGGGAGAGAGTGAAGATTTCTCTTACCCCATTCCACCTTCTCTGAGAGGAGCTTCAGTCTCTCTGCCCTCTGTCATATGGATGTGTGGGTCTCTCTGATGTTTTTTGTGTTGTGTTTGGATGTCCTCTGTTGGATTACGGATGTTTTCTTTGTTGTACACTAGGGGGCAAAGATTTCTGAGAGACCTCACTCTACCATGATGCTTACATCACTCTTGGCAAGATTTCATCTTTTTTTTGGCTGAGTAGTATTCCATTGTGTATATATACCACATTTTCTTTATTCATTCATCCATTGATGGGCTCTTAGGTTGTTTCTCAGTCTTGGCTATTGTGAATAATGCTGCAATGAACATAGGGGTGCAAATATTGTTTTGAATTTGTGTTCTTTGGATAAATACTCAGAAGTGGAATAGCTGGATCATATGGTAGTTCTATTCTTAATCTTTTGAGGACTCGCCATACTGTTTCCAGTGTCTGCACCAGTTTGCACTCTCAAGGTGGGGTCTTCTGCAAAACCCAGAGGCACTGCTGAAATCCAGACTCCTGGGTCTTGAGTCTCCTGAGTTAGGGGTGACGTGGAGATCTGAATTTTAACAAGCATCTCAGGTATGATTTGAGTACAGTTAGATTAAAATGCATTGATTGCCTACTGTGTTGCTGGTGCACTTATATATTATCTCATTTAATTCTGTAACTATCCTATGTGGGAAACATTTCTAACTTTATTTTACAAGGTGGGCAATTACAATTTCTGATCATGAGCTGTCTTAAATCCTGGGTGCCTGTAAGAGGTGAAACAAGTTTGTCAAATCTATATCTGTCCCTCTACCAAGCCCTCAGCCTTAAGAATAAAATCTACAGGAGAATCTACTCTTTCAAGGCAAGAAGGACTGGGCTGGCCTAATGGCCAAGTGGTTGAGTTTGCATGCTCCACTTCTGAGGCCTGGGGTTCACCAGTTCAGATCCTGGGTGCCACATGGCACCATCCATCAAGCCATGCTGTGGCAGTGTCCCTCATAGAAGAAGTAGAATGACTTACAACTAGGATATACAACTATGTACTGGGGCTTTGGGTAGAAAAAAATAAAACAAAAGAAGATTGGCAACAGATGTTAGCTCAGGGCCAATCTTCCTCACACACACAAAAAAGAGAAAGAAAAAAAGTAGTCAGCTTTCAAGGCAAGAAGGATTTTCAGGCATAAGACTGGATGTTAGGGACGTCTTTGTTTCTCTCACCTGAAAAGCCGAGGATTCCCATAGTGAGAATCCTGTTTATAATCTGTCAGTCAGGAGAGGCTCAATTAGCTGCTATAACAAACACCATGTAGAATCTTAAAATCACAAAGGTTTATTCCTCACTCATGTTACATGTCCATTGTGGGTTTGTAGGTAGGTTCTGCTTAACATAGTCATTCAAAGACCCAGTTAACATAGCATTGCTGTTCTGGAAAGTTGCCAGTTGCTGTGAGTGACTCAGGAGGGTCTTGGACTGCCAATCACATGCTTCTGCCCAGTGATGACACTCGTCACTTCTATTCAGAAACTATTGATCAGAATGTCATGTGGCCTTACCCATGTCCACGAGAGAGCCAGGAAGCACAATTCTACCACATTCCCAGAAGCACTAATGACCGCTTATGACCAAGTGAGGCAAGTTAGGCTGAGTCATTCAAATTTTAATAGTTTATTCATCATGAGTTCTTTTCTTACATCTATTTTTAATATTAGAAAGATTGCATTAAGACATGATTTATCTTGATTACTGAGTTTTTTGACATCTCTATAAATTTAATAGCAAGTCCAATCTTTGCTACAAGTGGAGGATAAAGAGAATCAGAATTTTGGGTGAAATTTTGTTTTCGTGTTAGAACTGTAGAGAAAAGCAATATTTAGAATTAAGGGCATAGTTGACATCTACTCAAATAATCACAGAAAAGGAAAATAGTGAGAAACACAGTCTAAGAGGAAAGAGAAGACCCAGAGAAGGTCAATTTGAGATTGAGATTCCCGAGGCCCATGCTGCCCAGATTCCTTATTTTGGCAGCATTGTGTAGGAAGCCTCTTGTGTTCAATTTCCCCAATGACCTTCCAAGTACATTATAAAGACAATTAAAACCTGTATCCCAGAACCACAGTCTTCAGTGAATGGGCTAAGGTTAATCAGTGTAAATTGAATGAAACAGCTTGTTCAAGTGAAATCGATTGAAAGCTTGATGAGCAAAAATGGAAACTTTGGCCACCAGTCTTTACTTCCTTTCCTGAGAGTCAGATTTTTAAAAGTACTACTAGAATCCCACGGAAGCTTCTGTAAGACGCCAAAGAAGTTGAAATGGGTAAAGACCTAGGATATTTTCCACTTATCGAACTGTAAATATATAGCAATTTAACCTATTTTTATACTTGGTATGCTTTTTCTTTTAGCCAGTGTCTCCCAAATTTTCTACCTGTGTGGATCTCACGTGGGTGTGAATCTATAAAATTGACCCAGATTCTCTCTCAGCAGTAGAATTGATCTCCTTTTTTCCTACGTGCCTTGTAAGACACATCTCTGAACTTGCCTGATGAAACTGAAAAGAGGACTTCTTCAAAGACCTGAGCTGTACGCTAAACGTGTTTCTACTTTGAACATCAGTGGAAAGTACACCTAAATCTGGGGTGAAAGTGAGGGAATCTTCTTGGCCATGACATTGCTTTAATCTTGGTATTTTATATTCTTTCTAAAACCCCAGCATCGCTAGAGCATCCGCACAATGGATACAGTCACTACATAATTACCTATGAAAATAAGAAAGCCCAGGTTTTTGAGAAATTTTCTTGATAAGATTCTTGATGCACAGTGTGTTATTCTCTGAAGAATGCTCTTTGCTGTTTGAAATCAAGTTTTCTTAGGAACTTGTTCATATGGTTCCCTTCTGTATCCTCAGCAGAATGACCTGGGAAACAAACTTGACTACAGCTGGCAATCACTTAGTGCTACGTTAGCCAATCATAGCTAGTGGGCTAGCTTTCCCCATGGGCTCCCTCGGAATAATTAGGTCTTAGAGAGATGCATTAATATCTGTTCCCTGGGTTCAAACTTACTAATAGGGCTGTGGGCTCTTAGGGAAAGAGTCATTAAAATAGTAATGACAAGTGCTAGCTACTCTAGAAGGATAGTCCAGGTGAAGAAAGAGCATAAAGAAGAGGTTCCCCTCTTGGGTTACCAGTTATTGGAGAATGTATCAGTCACATCTGGACAGGGTTTTGAAGGATGAGCAAGAGTTCTTTAGGAGGAAGGACTATTTTTTCAGCTCTGTGAGCCCATGGTCAGCAACCTTGACAGCTAAGGCTTGTCTGAGACCTTCAGATGATTGCCGCCTCACACCTGTCCTTCCTTGTCTGTAAGCAAAGATGGGAGTCCCTGGATGTTCAAGTCACCCCCACCTCCCACAAGGACGGCGCATAGCACAAAAACCAGTCTCCTTTGCTGAACAGTGGGACAAACCCTGAGGGACAGTGTGCGCTCCAGAGCCCCCTGGGAATCAGACTGAGTCTGGGAACTTTGCTTGGCTTCTGCTCCTCCCCCATGGGCCCCGCCCACCTCATTATGGGTTCCCGCGGAGCCATTGCACCTCAGTGATCCACTTATACCTGAATCCTTGGCTCAGGGTTTCCCGGGAGAATCCTCCCTCAGACGGTATGTATCCGAACAGGAACTCTGTGAGGGCCCCCAGCAGCTGCGTATTTCAGAATCATAAATATTTGATCAAATGAGTTCATACTGCACGTGAAAATACTTTGTAAAGTGTTAAGTCATTTACTATGTTAGCAATTATATTATGTTCTGAATTTGTAATTGTCTCTCAAAACAGGCCTTGAGAAAACGTTCTCAGCGTCGCTTTATCCTCCTCCTGCGGCTCATCAGCATCCTTAACAACATTCCTCGTCCGCGCAAATGGGGAAGTGGAGGTGCAAAGGGAAATAGACGGCTTAAATCGACGAAGCTCTCCCTTTACTCTGATTCATGGTTTTCATTTGGCCCATTGGACCTTTTCTGGCGCTTGTATCTTAAGACTTCGCTTACTATCGCAGCGTTATTTATTTTATAAATCCACCTCCTTAAACCCAGTGAAAACCAATTTTTCAAAGCAGCCTTTTCCATTTCGTGAATATGAAAAAAAAAAAAAAGAAAGAAAAGGTGGTAAATCAGAAACTGCTTATCTCAGATACTTATTTTATCTTTCCAGCACCGGCCCTTAGAGATCAGGGGCCAGAATCAGATAGAGCCCCTTGCTCTTTCGGGAGTCTTCCACCACTTACGTAACAACCCGGCTGCCATCGAAGGTGGTTGCAGACTGGCCACCGGCTGAATTGAATGCTTTCCTTCGCTGTAGTCCACTTGACTCAGGCTCAATAAGCCATAAAAAAAAGGATCCTCTGCCAGTCTGACAGCCTCTGCTTCAGAGAGGTAAAGTCAATGGGAAAAGCTACGAGATGATTCTCCTTTTGTTCGGTTTATTTGGAGGAATTATGCTCTGAATTAGCGATCCATTTTAGGGGGAAGGTGGGTAGAAACTCAGAAACTCAGGCCATTTATAGAATTTCCTTGAGTTTAAAATAACAATTACTCTAAACTTTTTCCTTCCTTCCTACCTTCCTTCCTCCCTGCCTTCCTCCCTCCCTTCCTTCCTCTTTCTTTCCTTCCTTCCATCTTGAGTTTGACTACAGCTTTACAATTCGTCGGAAGTTTGGTGTGAATTAAGAAATGAACTTATAAAAATTTTAAAATCAATTGGAAGCACAACTCCATAAAGTCTCCTAAAAGCCGTCTGTGCCGCTGCGTATCTGCTGGCAACAGGAGCGTCAAGGGCTTGTGTTTCAGGAGAGAGCAAGTGCTGGCCCTTCGACGGCGAACTCTCGGACTTTGGGCACATTTAATCCTATGAATCTCAGTTTCCTCTGATGGAAAGAGGAGATAATTCTCCCTCTGGTGCCGGCTGGTAGAAAGGAAAGAGATAATGTTCTGGCATGGAAACTAGCACATAACAAGGGTTTAATAAATGATAGGCATTATCGTTAGACAAACTTGCATAAACAAAGACATTAAGGCTGGAAATAGGAAGGGAAAAGGAAATCTTCTGGGAAAGATGGGATGTAAAAAGAGATGCTGTTTTCGAAGGGGCCTTGAAATGGTTTCTTTGAGTCTGTTTTAGGGAGAGAACTGCGAGTGTGGCTATGGGTGGGTGGAGGGGTGGGGCTGATGGACCAGGGCCAGATGAGACGGGGGTGATTATTTGGTGAGGGGTGAGACGTCAACCACAGGGTGTTGGGGCAATCTCCCCACTGTACCTGAGGTTTCCCTTTAGCAATGCCCGGCTGAACTGGACCAAAAAGTGGGAGTCAACACTAACAACAACGATTTTCATCTCAAATGCAGCTTTCTCCCCCCTTCAGTTCCTCCTCCCCCTTCTTCTTTGTATAACACTCTAGTTTAGGGAGGAATTTCTGAAATAGTTCTCCCTGTCAAAAATAGAGTCAACAAGTACTCATTGGAGCTTGGTAAGCAGACAGTCTTCCCGAGGCCAGGATACTGGTTTTGTCGTCGTTTCATTTTTTGTGATCTTGTTCCATCCTGTCTGCAGTCAGAGATTGGTATCTGAAAAGGCAGATTATGTTATGTGGCCTGTGGTGTGAAAATTTAGGGACAGTCTTGGTGTCTTGAGCTGGAGGCAAGAACAATAAAGACCTGGGAAGATGAAAAGGTGCAGGAGAAGGAGCTTTGTTCCATGTGCAGAAGCTGCATTGAAATGAAAACTCTTGCACAAACGTTGACACATGCATGTTCTGATCCTCACGGTGGATGTCATAGTGGATTATTGGCGGAGCGAAGTTTTTGGCCAATTTCTTCCTTAAACCTCACTTTGCACACACCACCCTGCCTCCCTTTTGTAAAAATCAAAGCCTTTCCAGAAGGATCCCCTTCTAGAAACTCACATGTCCTCATTCCTTATGGAGAAATTTTCAAATACTAAAATACCCATCAGAGAGAGAAGGAGAGACAACTTGGAAATTAACCACCCAAAAAATGGTAAAAATTCATCACTAGAAAGTCTGGCTTTTTAAGCCTCTCTCTTTCCTGGCTTCAACTTTTTAAACGAGAAGTTGAAACATGGGGATTTGAAAGGAGATGCACAAACTAAGTTGGGAGGGAATCCTGGAGTGTTTATGCACCCCCTTGTTGCACTTGAGAAAATATCTTGAATGAATGGATATATGTTAGGGCAAAAGATCAATTAGGGTTAGTATTGTAAACTAGACAATTATTAGCACTCCTCAAGTTGATCTATTCTATCAAATTGAGAGTAATTTCAGGAATGTACAACTGCTTAATTCACACATATTTGAAAATTTTGTGCTTATTTCTCATTAACCTATAGTGCAAAAAGTAATAAACCAAGGAGATCCCAGTCTGAACATAGGTGATATTAGTTGATATTTAAAAATAGCCTCGTGAAGACCCCCATTTATTAACAATCTACCCTATCACAGACATTGGCTAAAGTTTGATCTTGAGTCATAGTGTGTACATATTGATTGATGAACCTGTGTTGGATTGTTTCCTGAGCAGAGAAATTGTTTGCAGCAGCAGAATTCATTCTCCAGATTCCAAAACTTTCCATCCAGAGTGCAGGAATGGCAGTGGTGGTGAAGGTAAGGAGCCACACGAATAAAATCCCCGTCATGGGAAAATGGGCAGCGTGGTCCCGCCCGAGCCCCATCTTGTGCGTTTAGTTTCCATCGGATGCTTGCATTCTCCATGTGGCAAGGCTTTGCCAACATATTCGTGTCTAGGAAGAGTGGACCTTTTCCTTCTAGCACTTGAAAATCTTATGTGTTAATTTCCCATGAATGTCGTAATAAATTACCACAAATTTAGTGGCTTAAAATGAAGCAAATTTATTCTTTTACAGTCTGGAGGCCAGAAATCGGAAATGGGTTTGGTGGGCTGAAATCAAGGTGTGGTTGGACCACACTCCCCTCTGGAGGCGTAAGGAAGAATCCACGTCTTTGCCGTTTCCAGCTTCTAGCGGCCACCTGTTTTCCAACTGCTTGTGGCTTTGTGGCTCCTTCCTCCGTTTTCAGAGTCTGTTACTCCAATCCCTGCTCTGTGGTTACCTCGCCTGCTCCTCCACTGTCAAATCTCCCTCTGCCTTCCTCTCACAAGGTCACCTGTGATTACTGTTGGGGCCCACCCAGATAATCCACATAACATGCCCATCTCAAGACCCTTTACTTAATCACATCTGCGAAGTTACTTTTGCCACATAAGGTAACATTCGCAGGGGCCAGGGACTAGGATTTGTATATCTTTGGGGGCCATTATTCAGCCTACCACATCCTAGAATGCAAATTATTAAATTTGAATATGATCAACACAATGTTGTTTTTAAAAACAAGTAATTTTAGAACATTTTACATTTTGTTTCGTTAAATCTTTTCAACTAAGAAAATAATATGCTTGTGATAAAAAAAAAAATTCAAGCAGTACAAAAGACTTGCAATGAAATGGGAATGGGCCTTTCGCTCCAGGCTGAGTTGGCTTGGTAGCCAAATGATCACCTTACTCCAGCCCCAGACTTTTCCCCAGGACTGACCATAGTTACCTGTTTCTTGAGTGTCGTTCCAGAAAGTTTCTACACATATAATATATATTTTTTAACACAAATAGAAAATGCTATACATGTTGTTCTGTTCTTGAACTTTCCAGTTCCTGTATCTTGGCACCCTTTCCTTATCAACACAACCCATTTTATCTTATTTCTTTTAACTGATGTGTGGTATTTTGTTGAATGGCTGTACCATAATTACTTTACATATTCCTTTTTAAAAAAGATAAACATTTTGATTATTTCCAGGATTCTCTCTGCCATTACAATGTGATCTATATTATTGTGTGTATATTTCTTTTGCTGTATATACCAATAGTCTGGTTATTGCTGAGTAGCATTCCATTAGATGAATATACTGCAATTTGCTTTTCTTTTTTCCCTGTTAATAGACATTTGATTGTTTCTAGTTTTGGGCTATTATGAATAAAGCTGCTATAAACATTTGAATAGAAATCTTTGTGTGAACATGTTTTCATTTCTCTTTGGTACATACTAGGAGTAATTGAAATTGTTAGGTCATGGAGTTTGTGTATGGTCAGCTTTGGTAAATCTGTCAAATAGTTTTCAAGAGTGGCTGTATAAACTTGCTCACCAACCAGCACTGTGTGAGAGTTCCAGTTATTCCACATTTTTGCCAACACATGCTATTGCATCTTTTCCACATTAGCCATTCTTGTGGATGTGTAATTATATTTCATTGTACTTTCAATTAGCATTTCCCTAGTCACTAATGAGTTTGAGTGGTTCTTCATATGTTGATTGGCCTCTTGGTTGTCCTCTTAATGAACTAATTGCATATTCACATCTTTTTCTTATTGTATGTTGGTTTACCTGTCTTGTTCTTATTGATTTGAAGGAGCTCTTTACATATTCTGGATAAAAAAACTTCTTTATCAAATACATGCATTGAAAATATTATCTCCCTCTCTGTGAGTTCCTGTTTACTCTCTTAATGGTGACTTTTAATGAACAAAAGTTCTTAATTTGAATCTATTCCAGTTTATCAAACTTTTCCTTGATGGTCAGTGTGTTTTGTGTTAAAATTTTATGAAATCCTTGCCTATTTCAAGATCAGACAGATATTCTTTTGTGTGATCTTCTAGTTATGTAACTACCTAGATGTGATTTTTGTGTATGGTGTGAGAGGCTGACATTCACTTTTTAAAAATATGACTCTTTGGTTGACCCAGGACCATTTATGAAAAGGATCCTCTTTTTCTCATGACTCTGCAGTGTCACCTCTGTTGTGAATCAAGTGAACACATATCTGTGGGTCTGTTTCTGTATCCTCTATTCTGTTTTACTGCATGTAATTTGACTTAAGAAAAATAAAGAATCATGATCTTTCTTGCAACTGAGTGCCTTGGAGCAAATTTGTACCTTTATGACAACTCTGTTTTGGTCGGAACCTGCCTAAAGAGTATTCTGAGTACTTAACTTTGTTCCTTTCAGTCAGATGAAGTGTTTAAGTTAATCCTAATCAGGTCCCCTCTCCTTTTTCCAGGTCTTAGGAGGAAATAACAGCTTTGGGGTAGACTGCCCTGTGAAAGCTTGTTCTGGAGAGAAATGAGCGGTGGGCCTGTTCTGGAAGGGGGTCCTCCAGTGGGTGTTGGCCTGTCTCCACAGCCTTCCTCTTCTATTATGTCCCAGCATACTTCTCCTTGGCTCAAGATAACCTTGCTGTTTCTCCAAGCCATCTTCAAAACCCCGTCTGCTCCTTTCATCTTGGCTCATTCTGGTGCCCTCTCCTCCGCTTTTGGTCTATAACAAAGTTTATCCTCTAGTCTGGTATCTTCTAGAAAGCCTCTCCAGTCCTGTCATCCTTATTGATCTTCCTCTCCTCTGAACGCTGTAGCTGCTATTATTTCTGAATCCCTTGTTGTGGCCTTTGTATCTTTACTAAATATTTCAAAGGTGCTTGTCTAGCGTCTTGAGCTAGAAGCCCAGCTCTGCAGGAGGTCAGAGCTCCTGTCTTACTCAAAGCAGTTGCTCAATAAATATTTCATCCTAGATGAAGGGCAGAGTGAGCACGGAGGCAGGGAAGTGGAGGGCAAGTGCAGTGATGTGCTTTGATGCCAAGGAGCAGAGAAAGGGCCTCTGCGTCAGGGGACTCAGAACCCCCTCTGCGTGTTGGGTGCCCAGAGGTCCTATCCCCGAACGTTGGTGTCAGCTCACTGAGATCTTCTCTAAACCCTCGCTTCATGTTTCCAAGCGTTTGAATCCGAAGAGACAGCAGCTCTCACTTGGGGCCGAGTGGGGTCTGGTCAGGGTGAGGAGAGAATGACTCTATTCTCAGTCAGAACTTCTTGTTTTTCAGCTGAAAATGGAAGCAACACTGACATTCTCCTTAAATGTGAGAGTGAGTTTTCGACCAGGGAAGCTTGAGAATGTGAAGGACGGGTCCAGACACCGCCATCTCCAGGATGCTGGAAGCAGCTACACCTGCATAAACAAACTCGCACACCTGCTGGATGGGGCGTCCTTTAAATAGACATTAAACGGGATTGGCGTGATGTGCCTTCGAAGTCACGTCGTGATTAACTGCACCTGTGGCTGATGTACTCACAAAAGCTGTCGAGTTGCAGGTAAAGGGAGACGAATATGGAAAGACATTCTGGTTGTTTGGGGATCTTTGTCACTTGCTCCTGACAGATGTTTTTGGGTTTTTGCCTCTGGGTCTTGACAGATGTTCTCCACTTAACTTCCCTGAGGTTTCTGGCAGATTGGAAGGAATGATCTGTAATCTTTTTTCCCTTTTAAAAAACATTTTCTGAGACTTGAAAATTTGAGAACATAAATATTGCCGCCCCAGTCTCCTCTTATTTGGTGATTTCTAACAAGTGTCCAGTGTACAAATAAAACCCTTAGTCTGGTTTTCAGGAGTGACTGGAATCCTTTGTAGTCACTGGTCTGCTGACAGTGGGTTTGCTGTTTGCTATGGGACTATTCCAAGGAAACCATTCTCTCCTGGATATCCCTTAGGTCCCAGACAGAAATGAGTGGAAATGAAGTTATATGGCATAATGCGTTTCTGACAACAAAAAACTCAGGCCTCAACAGCTTGAACCTGAAATTCTCCCCGGAATTCTTGGAGTGGAGAGGATTCACCCGCAGGGCCCCCGGGCCGTGCACGGCTTCTCCATCTGCCCAGACAGCATGCTTGGCACAGGGGGATTGCTGAGGGCGGGTCTGCAGAGAGACAGTATGAGTATGCAAATAAGAAAGGCGGGCCCCCAGAAGGTCTTCCCGGCCTCTAAAAGCTCCAAAAGGGGAAGTATTATGTCCTGGGGTCTCCTCTCTGGTCCTGGCACAGAGCCCAAGTGCTAGCCCAGGCAACACACGCCACGTGCCCCCAATACTAATGCCCCAAATAATGCGGAAGATGTAACAGCAGAATGCGCTGGGTTTGATTTTGAGGCAGATTTGGCTACTTAGGACCTTTACTTACAAACTAAGCATCTGATAGCCATCCCTTACTGGGAAGGAAAGGCCAGATTATGGCGTGGGCTCCCTCAGTAACTTCCCTTGGGGTCAATGAAGCCCAGGTTACTCGCAGCAGCTGTTCCTATATGGAGAGAGGAGTCAGCTCCTTGAAAGCACCACCAAATTCACCTGGGAACGAGGCACAGCCCAGTGTGTTGGTCACTGCATGGACAGTCTTGTCTTGAAAATAGGGGAGGCTGAAGGCAGGTTATTTGTGAAATTTTTACAGTTCATTTAAGGTACATCTTTCGATGCAAGGAAGGGAGATGCTGATTGGGATTGGGCAAAATTTCTGATGTCCTGGATCAGGCATGGTGGACCCAGCCAGGTAGGAGTTTCAAAGCAGGCTGAGAGAGTAAATAGATGTTGGATAAGCCCAACAGAATGATCTGTTTTTCTGAGAAATGAGTTCCCACCCTGATGAGGGCTAGCTGAGTAGGCTATTGTTCGGATATGTGGATTTTTAGGAAGTCCTTGAAATAAACAATAAAGGAATTTACAAACTGATCTTCCTGGAAAAGCAAGTCCTGTTAGTGCAGAGTTGAATAGTGAAGTTGTGTCAACATAAGTGGGAGGCTCTGGGCTAAAGATGGTTCTAGTTCCCACACTCTTTTCTTACAATTCTAGGATCTAGGTGGAGGGAAGGGATATTTATCTGGTTCTTAGTTAGGAAATATGGAGGAGGGGAGGGGGGACATTTCCTAAATAGGATAAGTGAGGAAGACAGTGGACCTGTGCTGATCACAACTGTGGTTTCTCTCAAGGTGGGATCCAGGAAAGAAGGGCAGATAAAGATTCTCTCTTGGAAGTCTACCATGTGACAGGCCCTCTGCCCATACTTTGTAATCATTTTCTCATTTTAATCCTCATAATAATCTCATGAAATAGATATTATTCCCATTAATTGGTTGGGAAGACTGAGACTCGAAGATGATAAGTAAATTGCACAGCCAGGAAGTGATGGGACCGGGACAGGAACCCAAGTCTGTGGGTGTCAAATCCTGTGCTAGGCACTGTGCTGCCCCAATGGTGGCATAAGAGAGGACAGCCTCGTGGGACAGGCTCCCGCTCTGCGTCCCCAGCATTATCTGCTGTGTGAGCCTCCCGTTGGCCACTCCTGGGGGCGTTGAGAATGGGACTCGGGTACGTGCCTTGCTCTCCAGAGCCATTCATCTTGCTGTTGCTTGCACTTGTCTTCCCTGAGGCTGGAGTTCTCTTTTGAAAGTTCAGTTCTCAAATCACGCTGCTTCAAAACACTTCAGGAGCCTCCCTCACCACGGACAGAGTCCAAAATCCTTAGTATGAGTTTAGAATGGTAGAAGAGCCGGACAAAGGGTATGGAAGCGAAGCGACCAACAGCACATCAGAGTGGCATAAAGATTACTTTTAACTGAAAACACTTCGGTTATAGGAGATGCAGAAAGAAATCTTATCTGAACTTCCCTTATCTGACTAAATCAGAGCTTCCTGGGAACTCAGCTGCTGTAAACTGCCCTCTGAGGGAGTCGGGTAGGCAATTGACCTTTAACGCCGTGGCGTTCCAAGAAAATTGTGTAAACAAGCCTTGTCAGAACCTTCCATACTTTCCCACTGAAGCCATAAACTCCTCTCCCCTCCTGCGCCCTGTTAAGCTGGCATATAAACCCTACTCCTAGCTGTTCAGGGAGCCCCTCTTCATAGAGTGCTCCCGCATGCATGCGAAATAACTTTTCTCCTGTTAATCTGTCTGTTGTCAATTAATTTGTGGGTCCCCGATCACTGAAACATAAGTGGATAAAGGAAAAGTTTTCCTCCCAACAGAAGGAAATGTAAAATCCAACGGGATAGTACGATAGTAACAATATGGTTGTGGCTGAGGGTGAAAAACCACAGAATGCATCCAAGTAGTGATGGAAGTAGCTTGTAAATCATCCTTTCCCGTACAAAGCCTCATCTCCCGTTATCCTTCCCCTTTGCCACTGTGGACCATTCATCACTGACTCCACCTTGAACTCTGCTTTCTCTCATACCGGTTCCTCTTCTTCAAAAGCTCCAAACTTTTCTCTCTGCTAAGAGATCTCCTTGTGATAACATTTAAAGGTCTTATTTTGAAGTCTTCTGCATCTGCGTTGCCTTCTGCCAGACAGAATTAAGCACTCTTGTCTGTGTTCCCTTAACAACGTAGCCATATAATTGCCACATCTTTGTGTCCTTACCCATCGCCATCCATCAGTTTTGCCATCTCTCCACCCTTTGATGTACTTTTTGGCCCATCCATTTACTCATTTTTTTCATTCATTCATGCATCTGTTCCTCCAACACTCGTTCCATCTATCCATGGGAGAAATATTTATTTAAAACCTTATATGTGCCTAACCCTGCATTTGATCTTCATATAGATCAGATTGATTTCATTCTCTTCCAAGGTCACAGAGTAGAGAGTGGATTCCAGAAAACATCTCAAGAGTGTGGCTCTTAATCCCATGTTGGGTTTTATGTTGGATTGGTGTAACCTCTCCTCAGCACAGCTCTGGTTACTTGCCCTCTTGACCAAGGGGAAGCTGAAAGAGAAATGTCCAGTTTGAATTTTGGATTAAGAATCCAGGAATTCTGGATCCTGCTTCTTCTGACCTGGACAACACCCAGAATAAATGCAGTAGAGCCAGGAACACAGCAACCAAAGTGAAGGCAATTACATCCACTGATTTTAGCTTCAGGATGGTTATAAACGTGGAGAATCATGTATATTTCACCACCAAACTGATATTCAATTACCCGTTTTTATGGTCTCAACAACAAATGGACTCTGATGAGATGAAATGAGAAGAAAAAAAACGGTAGAAAATGACACCAAGCAATCGGACACAGAGAAAAAACAACCTGATGTCTGGCCATTTCTAACTCATAGTTCTTCCTTAGATACCTTCCATCGTGGAGATTAAAAGAGCATGACATGGTTTTCTGCTCTGCTTTAAAATTTTCTTTATAGAAAGGGGCTCCCACTTTAACTCAAAAGGTGACACGTTAACAACCATGCTCCTTGTAAAACAGTCGCTGGCTCCTGTTAACACTTGTCAAACTAAACAGGTAAAACCTCAAAATAGAACCAGAGCTTCTTGCCCACTAATTTCCAAGCTCCCTGTGGGAATTGGATGTCTGTGGTTATTATGAAGTAAAGGTACCACCTTCATGGTAACAATTTCAGCCTGTCTTAACAGATATCAACATTTTCTCAAAAAGGCAGGTATTTTTGTTTGTTGAGGAATCAAGGTTCTTTTCTCTGACTGTGGCATCCATTACTTATAGCCTGCAACTTGAGTGATGTACAGCTCATTTTCCCTCCTCGATGGAGGTGGGCTCTCTGACTATTCCGTTCATTAGATGTGGAGTGAGAGAAATGCACACTTCATTTGCTTTGTGGCCACTACCTTATTTTCCCTCTTTTGGTCTGAAGAGAACCAATCAACCTTCTATCTTCAAATTTTCAGAGGAGTGCTTTCCATCTAGCTGACTCTCGAATGCTTTTAAATGGAAAAAAGAACTGAAAACGGCTGCTGTTTGGTGATTTGCAAGCTCTCTGAAATTATTGTTTTTCTGCTTCACAGACTCAGTGATTGACAGTGTCTTCCCCTAGATAGTCAACCAGTTGGGGCTGGCCTGGATGGCGCTGTGAAAATTACTTGAGTCTTCTTTTTTAATGTCAGTTACTACTGAATGAAAACTAGAATTAATTTTTCATGGGCTAATGGTCTTGCACAGTTACAGTGTACCTGCTGAGTTTATGGACTTTGCAACTAACATTTACTCTTCTTTTTTTTTCTTTTGCCATTTGTTGTCTCCCTGGCATTTTAGTTTTTCATGCTTTTAGCCCTTGTTTGTATCTGGCCTACTTTGATAAGAGCAGATCAACTAGCCAAACTAGAATATGAGAAAACTCTTTGCCGATGGGGTCCAGTGGTCATAGTAAGTGACTGATGCATTGGACTGGAGCCTAAGTTTTGAGCACAATCCGTTCTGGCCCCTAGCTGTATCCAGGGTGAGAAGCCCCTTGCCTAAGGTCACTGCAGTCCATTGTCCCTCCCTGTAGGACAAGGTTTCTCAACCTTGGCACTCTTGACATTTGGGCCTGGGTAATTTTGTGTGTGTGTGAGCGTGTCCTGTTCATTGTAGGATATTTAGCAGCATCCCTGGCTTCTATCCACTGCTTCCTCAGGGTAACAACCAAAAATGCATCCAGACGTTGTCAGTGTCCCTTGAGCAGGAAGGGGATAGTCCCCAGGTGAGAACCATGACTGTAGATACTCTCCTCCTGTGCTCCTTGAGTGGAAGTTCTCAGAGACAGGAGGGATGAGTGGGGGAAGAGGAAGGGGAGAGGGGGAGGAAATGAGGAAAAAGATGGA